CGCAAACAAGAAAGTATCTTTTTCAATCTTTAAAAAGTAAAAAAAAATGTTTAACATTTTGAATATTCTATATCTTCAATCAAATTATTTATATTATAAATCATAAAACTTTAAATGTGTATAATCGAAAATAATTAAATTTTATTTCACAAATGCTTTTCAAATTATTTCTCAAGAAATTAAAAACCAATAGCCTACTTATTTAATATTAAATTATTTTTAAATTGAAATAAAAGTAGAAAATATGTATTTTTGAAATTAAATATTAGCAAAAAGATTAATGATTTAGAATTTATCTAAACAGATTTCTTAAAAAAAAAAAAATAAAAAATATCTTACGTCAAAATATTCCTTTTCCATTATATATGTTACAGGAGAAAAGAGAAGAAATACAAAGAAGGGATGAGCTAGAAAACAGGATGACAGAAATATTGGAAAACCTGAAGACGCGATTATTAGTTGAATAAATAGAGTGTCGATTATACATATTATTTATGACTTACTACATATCAATAATGTATTTTTTGTTATTTCTCATTATGTTTTGCGGGATTTCATGAGAAAATAAAATTAATCATATCAGCATAGCCTTTAATAATTTGTTAATCTTTATCAGCAATATATATTTAAGTGCCTATTATAAAATAACAATAAATCTTCAACTTATTTGCAAATAAAACATTCTTTTTCTCGTACAAATAACATCAGAAATTGAATCTGCCGAAATTATATTTGTTTTAATTATCACTTTTCTTTCCGTTTCAATTATCAATTTTTTATTTTAATTATCTATATCTATTATTAGTTCACTTACGCCTATTGCTGCGTCTATATCACTGTAATAAAATTATGTTGTATCATATATTGAAGTTTCAGTATTTCCTACTTTGCTAATTTCCTTTTTTCCAATAAATACTCAGAAGATTCAGGTTCGTACTCTGAGGCTATGTTCCACTTAACGCTCGCAATGCTCACAAGCATTGTTTGTCCTTGTTTAATATTTGATAAACAACAAGGATGAAATGACTCCACAAGCGTTGTGAGCGTTAAGTGGAATGCAGCCTTTATCATATAAAAATAATAAAATTAACAATAAAGTTATACCGTCAGATAGTAAGATGTTATTTAATTGTTAATACTCTATTATATATAATTGTCATTCTAGTCAAAAAGCCACTCGTCAAAATAACGTTGAAATAACGTCACCTTACTATTCGAGATATATTGAAAATTTCAGTATTTTGTCCTACCTTTCTGATTATCTGCACTTTAAGACTCGGCCCTATCCTCCTTCCGAGAAATATTCAGAAGCCTCAGGATCGCTTTCTAAATCATATATTAAATAATAAAATTAATAATAAAGTTATATTAGCTCAGACAGCAAGATGACTGTTGTCATTTTGGAGTCAAATGACGTTTTTGACACCTTTGACGTCAAAATGGACATTGAATAAAGTTTTACCCTACCTTGCTAATCCGTAAGTCCCATTCTCCTCCGATAAACCTCAAGAAGACTCATCAAGAAGATTGCATCTCGAATATCATCGTAGATCATAAATACGCGGATACGCGGATGCGCGGTTTCGCGATCGCGATCGAAGAGCAACTATAATGGTTCGTCGGATTGTTCGATATTCTCGGCGGAACTTAACTCTCTGAATATAATGCTACACCCGGAGCGCTTGCGAAAAATTAACAACGCGTCTATGATTCCTTATCACCGGACGACACGCGTTACCGATTTTCACTCGTAAACGCGAACTCTTTCCCGCATATTTCCTCGCAACTCACCACGAAACGTCATTTCGCGAAAATCGAGCGCGTCATTTTTACGGGAACTGCTCGCGTTCAAATTTCGATTATCGAAGTGGTGTACATCGCGATAGGTCGAATCAATAGCCGAGGGATCGAGGCGCTATCTTGGACCGCAAACGCGGCCGACGTGGCGCAGCATTCGTTGTGTCGTTAAAAAGGTTAGAGGCAGTATATACAAACAACATACAAATAAACATTGTATTTATTCGATCGATAATAAAAATTAATAAATATAGTCGCATTGAGATTTCTCAAAGAGAACGCGCGTTAAATTTATTTATACGGTGTCTGATTTAATGCGCTATGGAAGAGGTTCTTCAGCAATTAGGTGTCGGAATTCGCCCTGTAAACGATCCCTTCTTCGAAGATTCTTACAAAGTTTGCAAGGTCTTCCAGAGAAAGGGCGTCACGATTGATGACGAAGAGGAACTTTGTCACGAAGTGTGAGTACAGACTTCTCTTTAAGAAAAATAGTGACATAACCTAAAAACTTGTTTTGTTTTTTTTATAATCACTCTGCTGTGTGCTTCAATGTTATACGACTCATCTTCTAACGAATTCTGCTTCTGCAAAGAAATTTCAAGAATCCTAAAATATTATTTTTATAAGAATCTTATAATATTGTTTTTATTACAAGTGAAAGAGAAGTTGGTTGCCTACTTGATTTATAATAAAGAAAAATAAAGACAATCTTTCGTTTCAGAATCAAGGAATTCCCATGTTATATCCCAGGATGCAAGAACACTTTTCAAACGCTACTTGATTATGAAATGCATTATAACAGCTCGCATCGATACGCTTGTACAGAATGTAAAGTATCCAAACCAAATCCACGGTTGTTGGAGATTCATATTCAGGAGACTCACGATGTCTTCTTCAAAGTCTTATCAGAGAAGCAAGCCATGGTATACATATACAGATTATATAATAATATATTGTTACAGTATTGTTAAATATACTTAATATAGATATTCTTCTTGTCTAGTATCAATGTTATGATTCTGAATGTGACATAAAATTCAACAATCCAATCGAAAGGAAGGAACATTGCATTAGAGTACATAAATTTCCAAAAAAATATCGGTTCGACGATATGCCGTATCACACCAAGGAGGAAGAATCGAATAAAATGGAATTTGATATTGTTGACAATAAAAAAAAGAAGAAACCTACTAAGATACTCTTGAATAAAAATCAGAAAAGTAAGATGTTCATAAAAGATACCACTAGTGCAGTCTGTAAAATGAATGATAGTGTAGAAACAATTTCAAATGTAGAAACAATTTCGTCGACTAACGTAAAAAGTAAAATAACGCCATTAGCTTTTATCCCTAGACAAGTACAAAAATCCTTTTCAAAGGTACTTACGAATAGTCAAAATAGAGAAAAGAATGTTCTTGAGTCAGATAGTATGATGGAGCTTGCAGATACATTGCCTGATTGATAATTTATGTATGCAAAATTTTCTTTTTAATTTTAATTAAATGTTTTGAAGGATTTGTATATTTAACTGCAAGAATATATTAAACTTGTAATGAATATTTGTATTTAAACTGAGTTTTTATTATTTTTTATTTATTTTTTACTATATATTTTACTTTTTCTATCTATAATTTATTCTTTTAATTATGTGACTTTTAAAGAAATATGTTGGCTCTTATTTTGGCCTTTATTTATTGTTATTTATTTAGAATGTATTAAATTTATGTATTAAATTTAAGATAAAAATTAAGAAAATATTTTATAACAAATGTATTTAAAAATATATTTGTACGATATATAAGAAAGGAAATTTTTACAAAAAGGACATTAGAAATTATATGTAGTAGAAATTATATTTTAAATATTTTAGTGCTTCAAAACAATAATGGGACAAAAGAACTTTTATTTCTTTTCACACACACACACACACATGAAATGCTTCTTTAATGCTATAATATATGTATATAATATGTATATAATAATGTTTACAAATTTCCGAACGTTTATTATGCTAAACTTTGGTAAAAACTTAGTTTAATCAATACATACTGTATGTACATAATATTTTTAATATCTCTATTTGCCCAAATCAAATACTTTGACAATTTTACATATTAACAAATTTTAATATTATTTTGTATTACAAAAATAGGGCAGAGTCGTTTTGATATTGTGTCAATTTGATATTTTTATATGTTTATTATTTGTAATTATATTAATAACGTCTATTATAAAGCATATTTAAAAATTATCGCCTAATTCCACACATTCTCAGTTTTAATTTCTTATACGACGCAACTTAGAGTTTTTATACTAGAACATCATATGGTTGTATGGAATTTGCATGTGATAATTTATAAATACTTTAGTATCTAAAAGAAAAATGTTCAAAGATATATTTACACAAGAAATAAATAATCTGTCAAAATATTTTCTTTTATCAGTTGTGAATATTTTCATGACATGGTAAAGAATTGAATAACAATAATATATGTACACATATATACTACATATATACTACATATGTATTATATATATCTAAGAATAGTGTAGTAGTATGTGTATATTCTTACACATATACTCATACATATATTCATACTGTATAAAAATATATATATAAACTATATGTTGTATAGTTTATAATTATATATTTTATATACCAACTATATAACAGAAATACAAAAATATATGTATCAAACATTAAATATATTCTCTGCAATGGATGTTATGGAAACTGCATCATGTTAAAGCTCAATTTCTTCGCCTCTAGATAATTTTATCCATGAGATCTTTCAGATTTACAATGGGATTTACAATCTCTTAGATAAAGTTATCCGTAATTTATATGAAAATGAAGAAATGTGGCATAAATCCGTTAGTATATTGTATACTAGGGCTGCGTTTCACTTAACACTCGCAACGCTCGTGAAATTATTTCATCTTTGTTGTTTATCAAATGTTAAACAAGGACAAATGATGCTCGATATTTTTAATATCTCTGTTTGCAAAAATCAAATACTTTGACAATTTTACATATTAACAAATTTTAATCCGTATTATGTTGTATTACAAAAAGCGTTACGAGTGTTGAGTGGAACGCAGCCTAGATATCATATGCCGTAATAATAATTCACAACTAATCAAATAATTGTAATATAAATTTTTATTGTATATAAATATGTTGTCTTTCTAATTCCATTCTGAGTCTTTGTACTTCCATCCTCAATTGCGCATTCTCGTATTCGAGGAAACTCGTTCGGATTGCAAGCTCATCTTCTTTAGCCCTTCGAGCATCTCTGGAACGCTTCGCTGCTTCATTATTTTTTTTTCTTCTTTCCCAATAAGTAGCAGTTTTCTCATCGACAGTACTAGTAGGCAATCCAGGACTTCTAATAGACCTCCTAGGTACTCGACGCATTTTAGGATTCGATGTATTTTTGTTTATTTTTTTCATATTTTGAAGTATCATCTGACGGAACTTTGCATAGTTCTCATTCGAATTATGATCAACAGGATTAACAACAGTCAAAAAATTGTTTGGGTAGGCCTTGAAAGGTCTTGGCGTTTTCTTCTCCGACGTTGGTGATTTCATATCCGACGTTGAGCACTCTGCTGGCATCGAAACGATTCTTCTGATCTCATTATTCGTTATAAAAGATTGCGGTGTTTCTATGTACGGTAAATACATTTTTGGTACTACGGGAATATTTGTGGCTTCGTTCGGGAATGCAAATAGCGATGGCTGCTGAGGCGTTACCATTGTTACTCCTGGAGTAATATTATGCGTACTTGTTAATGGCACAGTATGTTTCAATTGGTTACTATTTTCATGGTAGTCCACAGAATCAGTCTTCATCTTTTTCGGTGAATTTGACTCGGAATATGGTGATAACATGGCACTACTGCCCGCGATAGGAGTCTGTGTGTTTTCATCTAGAAAATGTATTTCATGATAGTTTTGCTTCTTTGCTGAAGACAAAGTTTGCGATGAGCCAATGGGTTGAATTATTCCGACTTCGGATAATATAGACGGCACGTGCTTCTTGCGTGATAAATCCAGAACCAACGTATTAAGGTCTGAGTTGTCTTTTTGCTCAAATAATTGTTCAAAACGACTTTCATTATGTCCTTTGTAATAATTTTCCATCATCATCATTTATAATTAGCTGCAACAAGATACAAATTATTATTAATTATTAATTCATTATATATTGCAAATATATTGCGTGTATGTGCGACAAATGTGAAAATTAAAGAATGTACACTCTAAAAAAATATTTAAAAATTTAAACAACCTTATATTAGTATAAAATTTATCAAGCCTTTTTCAATAAAAAATCTTAATTAATTCTGTAATAATTCAAATTCTAACTATTACGTTAACGCAACTTTTCAGTTGTAGTGATATTTTCCCTGCATTAAAAAAAAACTTTGATTATTCTTTGAATAAAGAAAAAATAATATATTATTATACCCTTTATATTATTTTGTCAGCATAATGAAATATAACATTTATATATGTAATTAGAAATGTAAAATTATTGAAAGTTCGAACTATTAATTCCATTCAAACGTAAACGCTCGAAAATTTCTACTTTGAATAGTTTAAGTAACTCTCATCCTTTCGAATTTGTATCTGAGAAAGAAGAAATAATAAATGGATCAAGTAATTGTTATCTCAAAAATTTATGATTATAAATTCACAATGCAACAATTATTTACTAATTTAATTTCACACAATAAATTTGATAAGTTTATTGCTCGGAAATCTTGTGCATGTCACGTGCATTTGTAATATAATACATTTGCGCTTGATTTTAATTATTTTCGAATAACTGTGGCATAAATGAGCGTGACGGAATAAATATTTTTGTAAAAAAAGCGTTCCTATCGGCAATTCTTACTCAAGTATTGCACTAAGGCTTTATTGACATTTATTAAATATATTTTTTTAATTTAATTATAAAACGAAAGAGAATATAAAAGAATGCAACTTAAAAATGTACACATTATATAATGAGCAATAACGAGCTTCAAACATACAGAGAAATTTTTTTTTAAATTTACCCTAAAAATTATAGTAGTTCTAGTACAATACAATATTTTAAAGATTTTTATCATGTACTTCAGTAAAATTAATCAAACTTATTTTATATTTTATTGTAATTTTATGTAGAGAGATTTACATTAAAGTTCTTCAAAATACAATGTTATCTCATGACTATCATATTTTCAGGGTAAACTCTAAGAAAAAATTCTTTTCATGTATAAATCTCATATGTAATCGTAAATAGGTTCATTAGATAAATTATTCTCGAATAAATTTATGTAATACAGAGAGTTTTTTATTCTTTTTTATATATTAGAGACACAGATTTGAAATTAATTGTAATTCTATACGCGCGCGCGCGCGCGCGCGCGTGTGTGTGTGTGTGTGTGTGTGTGTGTGTGTGTGTAAGATGATTATTTGCAAATATCTATTTCTTGTAAATCTTACGCTAGCACTCCTGTAGGAAGTTATTACATTAAGTTAGTAGTACACTTGTAACAAAATCTTACGAGAAAGTGTTACGAGTCTTATGAGTGTTGCGATTCTACTTAGAGAGAATTGACTATAAATCTGAAATTATATACTGAAGAATTTTGTCAACGGCGGTTTAAAAATGAAAAAAGTATATTTTCTTTGATAGAACATTTTAAAATGATGCAAACACTGAGAGACTTATGCATGAAATATAAGGTCGTTTTTAGTTTCTCAATTTTACAGTACAGTTTGATGGATTAATTAGACGATATGTAATATATAGTATGCACAAAATTAAAAAAAAATTTTATTTTTCAAGCTTAAAAAATGCAAAAATATTATTCGACGGAATTCTGTCGCAATTTTGTAAATATGCTTACCTAATAATCCAAGTTTAATCCAAGGTTACATTGACACCATGATGATAGCACAACACTGTCGATATGCTCGTTTTCTTATTATTATATTTGATTACTGCGAATGCGTGATTACTTTAATGCGTATTTGTTTCGAACAGAAAAGAGATGAACTGGATTTCCTATTCAATATAAACTTTACTGAGCGAATTTCTATATCTATCTAGTCTCGCTCGGGGTTGGAGAAGCTTTATATAGTTACCCTTGTGAGGCCCCAAACTTCTTTCTTAGGAAGAGTAGTGGGGAAACTATGCAACCTGTTGGTTGAACGTCGAAAAGGCACGTGTTCTTTTGAATTTCAAGCAATCATAGGCGATTTTCAAAATAACACAAACCAACGTGTGAAATAATACACGATATAAAGATACATTTACGTAGTAATTATTTTAGCATATTTTTTATTTTATAGTATATATTCCTGCAATATACTTTTATTTTTGTACAACCTAAAGGTTTATGTACTGAGAGACAATATATTATTCTGTTCTATATTTGCTAGAATTAGATAAGTATGTCGTTTTTTTAAATATAAA